ACAAGAGGGCGGGGCCAAGAATGCAGTGAACCATATCTCAAACCAGGGGAACGCGTGTTCCTGGGCCAGCACCTGCGGACCATAAACAATCAGGTCGACCCTGGTCGAGTCGGAGCTCCAACGACATCTTTGTTCTGTCATTGACCGTAGGCAGGGCCGGGTTTACATGTAAGCTAAGTAAGCTGTAGTTTAGGGCCTCACATTCTGCCAGGGCCTCAATAAGCTACAGCTTAGGGCCTAAAAATCTTCTGGTGCCCCAGTAAGCTACATCATAGGGCCTCACATTCTGCCAGGGCCTCAATAAGCTACAGCTTAGGGCCTAATAAACTGCTTGTGCCCCAGACTGCCAGTAAGCTACATAGGTGTCTTTCATTCCGTGGCAATCAAGTTACCTTTTTACTTGGCAATCAAGTTACCTTTCTACTTGGCAATCAAGTTACCTTTCAAATTGGCAATCAAGTTACCTTTCTACTTAGAGTAATAATAAAGAAAACAGAATAAAAACCTAACCCTAAAAGTCTGATGGGGCCACAGGAAGCTACAGCTTAAGGCCTCACATTGTGCCTGGGCCTAAGTAAGCTGCAGCTTAGGGCCTAAAAATCTTCTGGGGCCTCAGTAAGATACAGCTTAGGGCCTAACAATCAACTGGAGCCTCAATAAGCTACAGCTTAAGGCCTAAGAGTCTGCTGGGGCCTCAGTAAGCTACAGCATAGGGCCTCCCATTTCTGCCAGCGGCCCAAAAAATCATTTTAAATACTCTTTTCCTATTTGTCTCTTCTTGAATTTTTCTTTTCTCATTTTTTCACAATGTGTTATGTTAAAGTAAAATGTGCAAAGTAACCTTCTATAATGTCAATGCTACTTAATGTATGTTAGCAATACGGGCCGTTTGTCAAACTCTAAGTCTAATCAGTATACTATATTTAGGGTGAATCTCAATACTAACCTGGTAATTGCCCGTTCCAGTCTTGCCATTTCTTTGCTTTTATGTCCTTGTCTATGGCTCTAAGTTTTTTTTATTCCAGAAGAATCCAGGTTCTTTTATCCATTGTAGATGTTTCTCTTAACAAAATGTGTGTATCACAAAATGTTGTCTGCATTATTTAAATGTTTGTCAACACGTTTCCCCGCCATCACCAACACTGCGTATCAACACTACGCATCAACACTGCGCATCAACACTGCTCAACTAACACTGCTCATCTATAGACTTGATTATACAAATATATAGATTAACGTTTTCTTTGACCAGCGGTTGGAATTTAAAACCGTAGGTGGCCTCTGGAGTTAGTATGACTAAGGATCTTTACATGTCTACATTTTGTTCTTGACTTTAGGACATACCACTAAAATAAGGTGTCACACATTCAGGGTGGAAGGGGAAAGGGTTGGGGGCTGTTACCATAATTATCTCTTCCACGTATTCTCAAACAATGAATGGGTAATGGGGCCCGTGCCCTGGTTCTCATTTTATCATGAACCCGACACGGTTTAATCTCATTATAAATATGTAACACATTCTAAATATATGTTGAGATCTGGTCTAGCAGTATGTCTAAAAACTATGTTGAAAAGAGGTTTGATAGAGAGAAAGGGAGAGAGAAAGAGACAGAGAGAAGGAGATAGAGAGAGGGAGAGAACCAGTGGCTACGTTTTTCAAGGGTATGAGAATCCCTGTTGTTACTTTGAACGCTGATTGAGTCCGTGAGTTGTGTTATGATTGTGTCTGAATGATCATTGGATGACAGGAATAGAATAATAAACAAGTGTGTGGATATTAGGCGGGAGTTAGAGAGAGTGGAAGAGAGAGAGAGAGAGAGAGAGAGAGAGAGAGAGAGAGAGAGAGAGAGAGAGAGAGAGAGAGAGAGAGAGAGAGAGAGAGAGAG